CCGCAAGTGGGGAGAGGGTCGCCCGCTCGGCCCTTGGGGGAGAGCCCGTGTTTCGGTGCAGGGCAGCAGCACCTTGGAAGAAATTCCTCTTCTTCTTCATCATCATCGTCGTCATCATTTTATGATTAATGCAGTGGGCGGGCCGAGTGGTAGAAATCAGGGGGGGAAGTCAAGGGAAGCAGAATCACGTTGCAAGAAAATGAACGGAGCGGCTGTATACGTTGAATAGATCGATAAATGAAAGAAATTCATTAATAATAATCATCAATAATGATGATGATGATGTTGGGCTGAGTGGTAGAAAACAGGGAGGAAAGTCAAGGGAAGCGGAATCACGGTGCAAGAAAATGAACGGAGCGGCTGTATACGCTGAATAGATCGATAAATGAAAGAAATTCATTAATAATAATCATCAATAATGATGATGATGATGTTGGGCTGAGTGGTAGAAAACAGGGAGGAAAGTCAAGGGAAGCGGAATCACGGTGCAAGAAAATGAACGGAGCGGCTGTATACGCTGAATAGATCGATAAATGAAAGAAATTCATTAATAATAATCATCAATAATGATGATGATGATGTTGGGCTGAGTGGTAGAAAACAGGGAGGAAAGTCAAGGGAAGCGGAATCACGGTGCAAGAAAATGAACGGAGCGGCTGTATACGTTGAATAGATCGATAAATGAAAGAAATTCATTAATAATAATCATCAATAATGATGATGATGATGATGTTGGGCTGAGTGGTAGAAAATGGGGGAAAGTCAAGCAAAGCAGAATCACATTGCAAGAAAATGAATGGAGCGGCTGTATTCATTGAACAGATCGATAAATGAAAGAAATTTATTAATAATAATAATCATGTTGGTGGGCTGAGTGGTAGAAAACAGGGAGGAAAGTCAACCGAAGCAGAATCACATTGCAGGAAAACGAAACGAGCGGCTGTATAGATTGAATAAATCAATAAACGAAAGGTGGTTGGAGCAGAATTAAACCTGAATTGCAGATCCAGTCGCAAAGGAATAATTCTTCTTCCGGACGCTTGGCCTTCTCCCCGCCAGACGGATTATTAATATTGTAGTGATTTTGATTATTTTACCAGGCTTGCGCGCCCCTCTAAGCCAGGCGGCTCTGAGCAGCCTACAGGGCCCACCAGGACTGGCCTACCTTGCAAGGTTGCTGTGCAGAGAAACGCAGGAGGAAAAGGGGAAGGTTTTTCTTCCGTCGGTTCAGATCTGTTGGGAAAGTTAGATGACATCAAGGATGTCAGCAACAGCTGGCCCAACGCATTCGTTAATTTGCCTCTTTTCCTCCGTTCCAGACTTACGCCCGTTTCACAGGGGCACCCCTCAAAGTTCACAAAATCACCAACCCATGGAGAAGCCCCTCAGGTAATTTTTTTGGGAGGGCAGGAAAGCCTGTTAGGAAACTTTGCCGTTTTAATGGCTTGAAAAGCAGGGCGACTCGTCAAGTTTCTAGTCCTCAAGAGGGACGGGAGAATTGGTAGGGGGGAGAATTGGGCCTGGGTGCTCAGAAGAGCTCATTCTCTCGCCAAACTCTTTCCCTGTGGTCCCCCCGCCCTTTTTTTCTCTACACAGGATCCCTCCCAGCACTAAAGACGCAGAACGAGGGGGTTATTTCCGACACGCAGCAAATCATCACCCATTTTAGGAAGCAGGTATGAGCAATCCTCCAGTTTGGGCTCCTTCCTGGCTGGAATTGGATGACTGAAGCACTCTGGGACTGTGGTGGCGTAATGGCATGTGGGAAAGACCTTGGGAGATGGGGCCAAGAGACGCTGCCAGGGGAACGTCAGATAAGAGACGGCTTAGCCCGCAGCTGCATAACAGGTGGAGAAAGAGGCTCGGAAGGGACCCTCCCTAGCTTCTCGGGCCGTGAAGGAGACGGCAGGAGATTTGTACTTTCAGACTTGCAGGATTGATGTCAGCCTCGCGGGGTGAACCAGGCAGGACTTGCAACCGGATGAGCGGATTTTGCTGTAGCGTAAAGCAACATTGACAGGATCATGCAAGTCTGAAAGTGCAAAACTCCCCGTCTCCTTTACAGCCCGAGAAACTAGGGAGGGTCCTTTCTGAGTTTCTTTTCCCACCCATTATGCAGCTGAGGGCTAAGCCGTCTCTTATCTGACCGCTCCCTTGGCAGCGTCTCTTTCCCCCTTTTCCCAAGGTCTTTCCCCCGTGCTGTTACAGACGGGTTCTTTTTTTAAGCGTCTCCCCCCTGACTCCCTTGCCCCAAACTGGCCCTGCCCAATGAGCGTGACTGGATTTTGAGACTCCTGCCTGAGCGGTGATCCTTTTTCTCCCTCTGCTTTAGAAATTCAACGCAGACTACGACCTCTCGGCGTTGCAGGGAGCCGACACACTGGCCTTCGTCTCTCTGATGCACAGGAAACTCCTGCCGATGCTGGTGAGTCAGGGGCCAGAAAAGAAATTGGGGTCAGGAATGGGGAACCCAGGGCAATCAGTGATTGCACCTGCACAATTGTGCCCCTTTTAAAATAAGCCCCCCTGGAGAGATCCCTCTTCCAGCAGGGTGGATCCCTTTCTTCTAGATCTGTGACCCCCTTCCCTTTTCCTAAAATGCCCCATTCCCTGCAACTGGAAATGTAGTCTCCAGATGGAAGCGGGGCGAACGCTTTTTTTTAAAGGCAAGGATATATTTTTTATTTACTTACTGGTTTTGGCTCGGGGGATCAACGTAGCTCGCGTGGGGTGAGTTAAGCAGCCGTTGTTGTGCTGTTTTGCCCTGGAGCTGAGATGGCAAACTTTGCCAGCGGAAAGCTGCAAATTTGCCACGTTTCCCCCGTTTTTCCTCCTCGGTCGTTTGTCCGTCCGCGCTCTTGTTTGGGAGGCGCGAATCGTTATCTTGGGTCCTGGCATCTCCCCTCGCTGGTTTTGGAAGAACTGTGACCCCTGGGCTTTTGGGGTCTCTCCTTTGAATCCTGAGGACTAGAAACTTTGCTCGTCGGCTTCCCCGGACCCGACGTCAAGGGAGGTAACCCCTGGGATTCTCCCGTTGGCAGATCCACACTTTCTGGGTTGATGGAAAGAACTACGTGGAGCACACGCGAAAGTGGTACGCGGAAGCCATCCCGTTCCCACTCAACTTCTTTCTGCCGGGCCGAATGCAGAAACGCCAGCTGGAGCGTTTGCAGACCGCCTGCGGGGAAAACTGGCAGGACAACGAAGAGGAGCTGGAAAAACAGGTGAGGAAGGTCCCCCAGGACAAGGATGACCCAGAGTAGTGTGGTGGCGAAGAAGCAGAGAGACTCCTCTTAACCATGGAAGCTCTCCGCAGCATCTGTACTGCCGCCCCCTGGTGGCTCGATCTGGCAGTCGCAGCTCGAAAGGGAAAATCACGCGGAGCAAGAAATGTCTAAGCTGGGAGGGAGGCCACGATTTTCCTTTTCTAAGGATGCCTGTGGGAGTTGCAAAGGATTTCTGGAAAAAGATGAACCTGGGATGGGCATTTTGCTTTCCAGCCATCCCGTTCCCTAAATTTTCTTTAAAAAGAGACCCAAGGTTCAGGAGACGCATAATCAATCCATTTTTCAAAGGCTGTTTTTGGGGGACCGGCCAAAAAATGAAATATGTTTCCCTTTGGCACAGAAGTCGTCATATTTACAACCCTCGAATACGATTAATGCTCTTCAAATGGAAAACGTTGGTAGAATGTTTGATATTTGGACATATATGCTTAGACAGCAAATTCTTTTTTTTTCTTCTTTTTTTCTCGTTAGTTTGTTCTTGTAGATTAGTTGGCCTTTCTTTGTATTAGGGTGGTTTTTCCCTATTTTGTGTATATGTTTCGGTAAAAAAGATTGCAAAATAATTTTTTTAACAATAAAAAATATTAGATAGAGAGTTGGCCTGGAGATCGTCAGCATTTGCAACACTGTTCTCCCCAACTTCTAAGACCTGTGACTCCAAGGCTATGGGGTAGCCCCTGCTAAAGGGCCTGGGAAAGGAGGTCTGCCACTCAGCCTGGCTGGGGACGATGGGGCTCGAAGGGCAAAGGAGTAGTGGAATAGGCTGGGGGATGCCAATGCATTGAAGAGAAAGCGTGGTGCTTCGGAGGCTCTCGCTCAGAGGCAAATGCTTTCTTTTTCTTTTTTTGATACGAACTTTATTAAGTTACAAAAAGCATAAAGATAAAAGCAACCAAAGAGAGAAGCAGAGGACGAGAGAGCTAAAGAAAGAATACAAAAGTGCAAAGTAAAGGGAAGAAAGGAAAAATGACAGGAAGAACGACTGCAGCAAATCTAGATAAATCCCAAAGTAATCTCTTCCTCTAAAACTACATCTATTTTGTACATTTAACCAATCCTCAAATCATAATTTCATTTTTTCCCGCCTCCTGCCCAAAGTGGCTTCCGATTGTCAGTGTTTTTTCTCTAAGCGAAGCGGTCGATTTTGCGTTCTCGGGTAACGCCGTCGTCTTCCCCCTCCGTTCTTCCGTCGCGGGCATCGTCGACTCTTCCCACCTTGAAGCGTATCAAAGTCTAGCTTAGGGGTAACGCTTCCTTGATACCCACAGCTTTACCAAGAAGGCTGCGAATGTCTGACGCTTCTCTCCCAACGCCTCGGCCGGAAGAAATTCTTCTTCGGAGACTCGTAAGTAGCTCGGGGGTCGTGGGGCCGGGATCTGCCTACCCGTTTCTCCTGCAAACTGATTTCCCTCGTTTTTTAACCCAGCCGAAGCTAATGTCCTTCTTCGAGAACAGATCCGCGCTTTACGGCCTTTTTGCTCACCAACGTTTGATTTGTTTCGAACTTTCTCTCTCTTTTTTTTTTTAGAATATTTTATTGAGATTTTAAAGATACCTATTTAAAAGTTAGAAAGGGAAAGGGAAATTTGAAATACAAAATATAAAGAAAAGGAAAAGAAAAGGTGAGGTAAAGGAAAAGGAAAAACGATAGGAAAAATAGATAACTTCCAATCTCTCTCTGGTCTTAGAAATAGTAAGGCTATCCTAAGTGCTAGTTTTTAATACATTAAATAGGAATAATTCTTTCTCTAAATATATCCCATTACATTTATAATCTAATCTTCAAATCCCCATGTAAGCTTCACTCCACCTGCATTTTGCAAATAGTCCATCAATGGTTTCCATTCTTTAAGGCAGTCGTTCTTTGAGTTTTCTTTTAATGGGTAATTTGTTTCGAACTTTCTCAGAGCCCTTTCAAACATTGCATTTTTCTCCCCGCCACTTCTCTCATCTTTATCTCTCCGTGCACAGCTGCTTCGTTTCAACACTTCTGGCTTGTCTTTTAAACTCTCTGAGATCTTTCCTGGCGAAAAATCCTGCGTTCAAAAAGGTTTCAAATCAGTAGAGCTATCTCGTTCCTGGGATACTATTGTGCAAGTCAGGCTAGCTCGTATATATATATTTTTTAATCGCAGTATCTTGTGCGAATGCCACTGCTCCAATTTTTAAACCAGGATTGGGGGCTCCTTTAAAATATTTGGATGCCGCTGCTCCCAATGAGGATTTGCAATCTGAGTGATGCGTCAGGCCTGCTCTCCATGTTAAGAATCAAAACGTCCTTAATATAGTCCATTTTCTGCAACCTATTTAAACTCTAAGTTCGTGCCTTCAACTTTTTAAAATTAATTACACAGCCCGAGACCTGCAAAATAGTCTTTTTCCAACGGGAGAGAAACCCAGAAGGTGAGGCTGAACCCAAACCTACAGAAAAATAAAATGGATCAGCCCGGGACAGCCTTTCCCCAAAACGGGGCAAAAAAATATGGGCCACCCTTGGCTCGTTGGAAAGTAGCAGTCCAGGGATGCTCCCAAGGGAGCGGATTCAAGTAATCAATCAAATTAAAGTAATCAGAATGAAAGCAGGTGGCTTTAGTTTTGCAGAAGAGGCCAAAGTAAAACGAGGTTGATTCCGTTGTGGGTTCACGGGTTGCGGGGAGCAAGGACGTTGGTCCCCCGTCTGGGACGCCCTGGCGGGAGGATCCGTCCCGTGATCGTGTCCCGCTCTGTCTTCCCGTTTTCAGACCGGCTTCCTTGGATGTATCCGTGTTCAGTCTCTTAGCCGGGCTCCTTCAAGCCAGACTTCCCAGTGGCAAATTCCAGCAACACCTCAGATCTCTCCCAAACCTGTGCAATTTCTGTACCTCTATTTTGAGCCTTTACTTTCCCTGGGACGGAGGTGAGTTTCCTGCTGCGTTGGCGAAGGTTGATATTTATTTACTTATCTTTCAAATTTGTCCCCGCCCGTCTCGCTACGAGAGTGACGCTGGGCGGTTTACGGTGAAAGCAGAATAACGTTGATTAAAATAGGTAAGAATGAATTAAAATGGGCTAAAAAGGACAAACGTCCTGCAGAAGATCCCCTTTGGCAGCGCTTGGCCTTCCCCCTTTCACCCGTCTGCTGTCGGCGAGCTTGGAGGAAATAATTGCCGAGGGATCAGCTCGGCTGCGATGCTCCTCTGCCCGGAAGAAGCCGAGCCGATAATTAAAAAAAGTCAAATTTCTCCCGCCAGGAAATTGAAATTCCAAAATTGCAGGGCCCCTTTGTAAGCCTGGGTTGTGGGGCATCGACGGGCTTGCAACCCGTTGCAGTCCTGCCTGGAATGACATTGGTTTCTTCAGCGAGGCCATGTTCTGAAAATGAATCCCTTGCCAGGACGGGATTTTATTTTGGGACGGTTCAGTGGTTAGAGCACGCTCGGCCTGCATTCTCCCTAGATGGTTAACTTCACTGGGTTAATCGATTCTCTAGTTTCACGTGACCCTGAGTCATAAACTAATCCAGCGGGCTGGTTCCTGGAGCGTGCCAAGCCGCGAACAAAACGCTTGAGGTTAACACTTAGCGTTTATTTAGCATACCGTTTGAACATGCAAATGTAGCCACTTTTGCCTGTACAGGTAGTCCTCGTTTTGTGACCACAATGGGGGCCGGTACTTACGTCATTAAGCGAAGCGGTTGCTAACAGAAACCCCGACTTTGCTTACGATCCGACTTCAGCTCTCCTCGGCTTTATAGACTTGCGAAGGTGGCCAAGTGCGAGGATGGGTCACAAAGTGACTTTCCCATCCCCGTTGCAATGGCGAACGCTCATGAGATGAGGCTGTCGCTCAGCGAGGACTAGCTGTACAAAGTTTTAATCCCTGAGAAGGCTAGGGGAGAATATGAATTTTGGGGAGCCTCTTTCCCCAAACTGCCCTTCTGTCACTACGAGGAATACCTTTTTGCAATGCAAAGATAAGGACGGGAGGAGTTTGCTGGAGTTTTCTGGAAGAGAAGCTCCGCTATGCAAGGCAGTCTATCTTAGTCTGGCGCTGCGTGGATTGGACTGGGAATCCTGCTTCCGCTCCAGGGGGACCTTCCTCCTAACTGAGAGTAAACCTAGGCCGGTGGGGTATATAATCCATCCTTCCACGTTTTTTTTCTTCTTTTAACGCCACATTTTCATCACTTGCCCCCCGGGTCCAAGCTGTTCCTTGACGGGCGCTTGCCTCTTCCGCAGGGGATCCCCCGCCCACCCGCCCCCTCCCGCGGGGGGGGGGGGGGGGGG